AGCGTATTCTGTTGTTTTTGTGTGGAATATCCTATAAATATCAATTAAGTGTACTGTGTTTAATGTATCATTTAAAGCTTGTGTTTCCATATTTATTTGCATTTTGGATGATCTGTCCATTGGTGAAAGTGGGGTGTTAAAGTCCCCTACTATGATTGTGTTACTGTTGATTTCCCCTTTTATGGCTGTTAGCATTTGCCTTATGTATTGAGGTGCTCCTATGTTGGGTGCATAAATATTTACAATTGTTATATCTTCTTCCTGAATTGATCCCTTGATCATTATGTAGTGTCCTGCTTTGTCTCTCGTAATTGTCTTTATTTTAAAGTCTATTTTGTCTGATATGTGTATTGCTACTCCAGTTTTCTTTTGATTTTCCATTTACATGGAATATCTTTTTCCATCCCCTCACTTTCAGGATGTATGTGTCCCTAGTCTGACGTGGGCGTCTTGTAGACAGCATATATATGGGTCTTGTTTTTGTATCCATTCAGCCAGCCTCTGTCTTTCGGTGAGAGCATTTTATCCATTTACATTTAAGGTAATTATCAATATGTATATTCCTATTACCATTTTCTTAATTGTTTTTGGTTTGTTATTGTAGGTCTTTTTCCCTCTCTTGTGTTTCCTGCCTAGAGAAGTTCTTTTAGCAATTGTTTTAAAGCTGTTTTGGTGGTGCTGAATTCTCTTAGCTTTTGCTTGTCTGTAAAGCTTTTAATTTCTCCATCAAACCTGAATGAGATTCTTGACGCGTAGAGTAATCTTGATTGTATATTTTTCCCTTTCATCACTTTAAATATGTCCTGGCACTCCCTCTGGCTTGCAGAGTTTCTGCTGTAAGGTCTGCTGTTAACCTTATGGGGATTCCCCTGTATGTTATTTGGTTTTTTCCCTTGCTGCTTTTAATATTTTTTCTTTGTATTTAACTTTTGGTAGTATGGTTAATATGTGTCTTGGTGTGTTTCCCCTTGCATTTATCCTGTATGGGACTCTCTGAGCCTCCTTGATTGACTATCTCCTTTCCCATGTTAGGGAAATTTTCAACTATAATCTCTTCAAATATTTTCTCAGACTCTTTCTTTTTCTCTTTTTCTTCTGGAAACCCTATAATTCAAATGTCCGTGCATTTAATGTTGTCCCAGTAGTCTCTAAGACTGTCCTCAATTCTTTTCATTTTTGTCTCTTTATTCTTCTCTGCAATAGTTATTTCCATTTTTTTGTCTTCCAGGTCACTTATCTGTTCTTCTGCCTCAGTTATTCTGCTGTTGATTACTTCTAGAGAATTTTTAATTTCATTTATTGTGTAGTTCATCATTTTTTGTTTTCTCTTAGTTTTACAAGTCCTTGTTAAATGTTTCTTGTGTTTTCTCCATTCTATTTACAAGATTTTGGATCATCTTTACTATCATTACTCTGAATTCTTTTTCAGGAATACTGCCTATTTCCTCTTTTTTTTTTTTTTTTTTTTTTTTTTTCTGGTGTGTTTTTATGTTGCTCCTTCATCTGCTGTGTGTTTCTGTCTTCACATTTTGATTAACTTAATGTGTTTGGTGTCTCCTTTCCGCAGGCTGCACATTCATAGTTTCCATTGTTTTTGGTCTTTACCTCCAGTGGCTATGGTTTGTTCAGTGGGTTGTGTAGGCTTCCTGGTGGAGGGTACTAGTGCTTATGTTCTGGTGGATGCGGCTGGATCTTGTCTTTCTGGTGGGCAGGACTGCATCTGTTGGCTTTTTTGGGAGTGTCTGTGACCTTATTATGATTTTAGGCATCCTCTCTGCTAATGGGTGGAGTTGTGTTTCTGTCTTGCTAGTGGTTTGGCATAGGTTGTCCAGCACTGTAGCTTACTGCTTGCTGAGTGGAGCTGGGTTTTAGGGTTGAGATGGAGATTTCTGTGAGAGCTTTCGCTGGTTGATATTACATGGAGCTGGGAGGTCTCAGTGGACCAATGTCCTGAACTCAGCTCTCCCACCTCAGAGGCACAGAGATGACACCCAGCCAGAGCACCAAGACCCTGCCAGCCACACGGCTCCAAGTCTGATGAGAGGAAAGAGAAATACTGGCTCGTGTGCAGAATCATCCCACAGATCACAGTAATGACACCTTCAGCTTGATCATGGTGATGTTTTCATGAGTTTTTGCATATGTCCAAACTCATCAAATTGTATACAGGAGGACATTGAAAATATTGCTGGTACAGTTCCAGGCCACTTTTTTTCTTTTGTTTTGCATTTAGTCTAGTTTCACTGGCTCATAGGGTGCAGCATGCAGAGATCTCAAACCCAGCACCTTCAGAGCAGAGTTTCTAGCTCAAAGTGGTTGCACAGCATCCCAACTCAAGATGGAGGTGGAGACAGCAGGCTGTGTGTAGAGCATCACTGTCATTTTAAGATCTATTGCTAAATATGTCAGAGGTTTCAGTTATTTATTTAATCCAAGCCATTGAATTTTTAAACATTACTGATTATTTTCTTTGTTTAACAAGAGTACCCAGATTTACGTAGTGATGTGATGGTAAGTCTTTGACAAACAACTCTTGGCGTGGGGGTTATGGCATGGGATGTTGGAAAAGCACAGATTTGTTGCACTTGCCGATTTCCATGGTATAAATATGTTTTCATTAAACATAGAGCTTGAAAAGATATGTACACTATTGACATTCTGAAAAGATGTAAACAGAGCTGGTCTGAGATGTCTTTTAAAAAATCATATACAGTTTATTTTCTAAAACAGATATATTCAGGAGAATTGCATACAAGCCCTTCAAATTTTGAACTCCATGGTACATTGCAAACGATTAGCCTTACTAAAGTTTTTTTTATATCTAACTTTGTAAGGAAATATCTACTCCATTATATATATTTTATGTATGTTTATCTTGTTAATTGTTGAACTTTTGCAGGAAAGCTTATGTGATATTTAATTGTTATAGATTCTTATACTCTTAAAATTCAATAAAATATTTCCAAATTGGATAAAAATATATTTATGAATCATAAAAAATTTGCAAGGAAATACATATCACAAACAAATAATTGGCCAAATGTCTTAGCAAATATTTTAATATTGATCTAGTAATTCTGCCTCTGTAATTCTAAATAAGGTGGAATAAATGTATCTCTAAACTAATTAATGTAGTGCCAACCTATATGTGTGCATATGTGTGTGCATGTGTGTGTGTGTTTGTGAGACTAGGAGATAAAAGGAATAAATACCAATCAACATTCCACTGTTTATCTTTGCTTAGGATACATATTTTTATTTTTCCTGTATTCTTAAACCCTCTCTCCAATCTCTGATAATGAGCAGGGACACATTATACCTGAATCTATAAATAAGAGCCCTGATATAGTAGGGCTAGGTCCTATTTTAGTTAGGTAAATATTGAATTATAATGGTTACTACCAAGTGGTCAGTGGAAGAGCTAAGTTGTGGTCACTTTTCATTTTGTTTGAGTTTCTAATTTACCATTTGGAGTCAGTATCATAGCCTGAATCTATACTTACCCTCAGCCCTCCTTCTCATGGGAGAAAAAGGGAAACAGAAGGCACTACTAGAGTGCCTGGCATGAGGTAGGCCCCCAATAAATATTGATTGACTGGGAGCAGGAAAAGTTTGAGATCTCAGACTATCATTAGTGTTTAATTAAAGCTGTCCACATGATTAGAATGCTTAAAATTCCATCCTGTTTCTACTTTTTGGAATTAAACATACCCTTCAAGCTTACTTTTGTGTGAAGCCTTCCCTGATTGCTCCAAAGAGACTTCTTCCTCTTTTAATTTTCCATTCTCTTTCATTTTTAATCATGTGTTATTTACCAATATTATCCTTGGCACTCAAGGATAAACTCCTAGAAGAAAGGGATAGGATCTTGCACATTTGTATGGTTCACTTCATTTCAAAAAATTTCTTGAACAAACTCATGCTCTATTGTTATTATTTCAATTAATAAATATGAATATACATCTAAAGATGAAACTTGGAAACAAATCCTATACCTGAATACTACTCTTAAAATACATTAAAAATGACTTTGTAGCATTTCTTAGTTTTTAAAAATACCGATTTTCCCTCATACTTCCCTTCAATGCTAATTGAGAAACAACCATATTCCAATTTTTCTGTAGCCGCTATAGAGGAAAACCATGGACATTTTAAATAGCAAAACTATTCCAATTAAAAATGTATATTTTCAGAGAATTTCATAATAATGAATGAATTGGAGTTTATTTGAATTCCCCCTACTAATGGTGGGGGAATCTTGGCCTACATGATTTGGTCTCAGAACCTTATCACTCTTTAGAGGGACCTCAGATGTGGTGGCCTGTCACTGTTTAGAAATATGTCATTTCACATGAGAAAACTGTGGTCCTGAGGACATTAGTGAGAAAGAGGTCATGAACTCCTAATTAAAAACAAAATTCCCAGCAGGTGCATTCAGAGTCAGATTTACTATGAACCAAATGAAGCTTAATTTTCAGGCCCCTCACACAGAACGCTTCTAAGTCTGAGGGACACGCTCCAAGATAGAATCTTTTCCTTAGTGTGACACGAAAATTGTATAAACTTCAGACACCACAAAATAGGGCTCTACCTCTGGGCATACGTATGAAAGAAAATGTGGGATATTGTGCAAAGAGAACTTTGAGGATGTCTAGCGGCCTCAATTCTGGGCTGTGTTTGGCACTAACTTGCCAGGTCTCCTTTCAGAATTGTCTAAACTTGCTGAGCTTCAGTTTGTTTATCTGTGAAATGATACTGGTAATTAAGTTAGCCCATCTTCCTATCTGAGTTATGTAATAATTACCTGAGACAACATTTGAATATTCAAAAATCAAAGAGTTCAAAAATAATTAGTAATTAACTGAAAAATGTAAAAATTAAAAGTGTTTGGAATTGACCTTGTTAAACACGAGGCCACCATTAATCTTCCCAATGTTCAACAATATCAACAGTAAAAATCTCTAAGAATTCTCCCTAACTCAACTCTGTTCCTCCTACAGAAGAAACAACACAGCCCTGCCTGAATCAGAAGTGTTCTTTAATCCTAGATTGCAGTGGATTGACCTTTTATGACTATTCTGGAGTCTCCATGCTTGTTGAGGTATTTACACAGCTTGTGTTTGGACTGATTCTTTCCCTTCCCTTTAGTAACATGGTTTCACCAGCCTCTCTCTCAGCTCTGGGGTTTTGATCCTGCTTGTTTCAATACTCATCTCACCCATTCTCTCCAAAAGGCATAGACTTTATTACTCCCACTACTGTAGATTTCTTTTCAGGAGATGCCGTGAAGTTTCTAGCTGTGTGTGAATCTGGAGAGCGCGGGAGGAGTAGAGGTGGGTATTCATGTGGGGTGTTAGAACAGAACATAGACTTGGGATGTAATGGGTATAGGAGATGCTGGGCAGTCAAATCCTAGGTTTCTAGAAAGAAGGAGAAAAGTCCCCTCCATGAGCAAGTGGCCTGATGATGGCAGGATGTTGTCTCTCACATCATGGATGGGTACAGTCTGACCTGAAACCATTCCTGGTCTCTGAAATAATACTCAGTGCAGGGTTTTTTCTCCATTCTCTCAGACAATGGTGTCCTCTACCCCATGATATCCATGGGGTCTCCATGATCCCGGTTGCAAAAAATAAAAGTTTTATTTCTTTAAAACTGAAGCCTCCATTTAGTTAGATGGAACACCTAATTTTGCTAATTCAAGGAAAACTCAGACACTTCCGGAATTGTTTCCTCCTTTTTTTTTGAGTAAATACTAAGTCAACAAGGAATGTACTCCCTTTCTTATTTCCATTTATTCTCTCCTCAATACCCTAAATATGAGGGAGGATCTTGAGGATCAAGCAATGTCTATTTCTCAGCTGTCCTCAGTCCTCCATTAGCTTCTGCTGTGTGGAACTTGGTTCATCTCGCCTTTGGCGGTTTGTTTCCCAGCGGTTCTCTTACCCTGGCTTCATACAGTCTCCTGCTGTGTGAGGCTTTGTATTCAGCCAAAAACTTAATCATAACCTATGGCAATTTCTGGAGCTCTTTCCCTGCATATTTCCCTTCTTTCCATTACTCTCTCCCATAAATTTCACCCACTCAATCCTTCCTAAATGCCAGTCCTGTCTTCTCAGCTCAGTAAAGTGGCTGCATTTTGCTTGGGTCCCCCCCGCTCATCATGTCACGGTCCACAAACTGCTTTGAAGCAGAAAGCTGAGATGATCTGAGAGCTCACGTCGTTTGTTTTTTTTTTCTTTCAGAAAACTCCGTCCTTTTCTGCCTGTTCCCATTGCCGGAAAACAATTTATATATTTTCTCCATTTGTCTACTTATTTACGAAGGATAGGATAGTCTTTATATTAATTACTCTTCATGGCCAGAAGTCAAAATTGGACATTGACTTTTAAAGAGTTAAAACCAGTAGTCCTAGAAGGTCTCACATTGTAGATTTTGATTGCTTTCTCATGGTGTTGCATAACTGTCTCTATTCATTCATATTTTAAATTTGAAATGTCCAACCTTTCAAACTCAAGATAGTCCAAAGTCAGCTTCAGTCTGGCTTTCCTATGAAGATGGGGTGGGACTATGTGAAGAGAAGCAGCTTACTATGTGACAGAGCGTAGTCTCAGATCTATCACACCTGCTGGGAGGTGTTAGGAAAATTGTCTAACCTGTCTGGATCTCAGTTTATTCATTTTGTAAAAATGGGGGGGGCGATTTTGTTTCAGATTTAGTAGATATTAAAAAAAGAAATAAATTATGCAAAAGAATTGAATTTTAAATATCCTAGGCCTTAAATCTAGTGGCTGTTTTTGGTAAATTTTCCACGTGTAATATGCTTTTAATTTCTTGTTGCTCACCATAAAAACTTTGCACAATTTGGCATAGGGTTGAACCTCAATACTTTTCTTGCATCTAAATCCTGACTGTAAACAGAGAGTCTCTCATCATTGGAGGGCTTCTTGTGTTCAGCACTTTTATTTACTGTGTTGCCAAGGTCTAGAAGAGCACTGTTAAACCTATGTGTATAAGGATCACCTGGGGAGCTTATTTAAGATGCAGTCTTTTGATGGAGTGATCATTTTGAAATGTACAGAAATTTTGAAACATTATGTTATGTAACAGGAGCTAACACAGTGTTGTTGGTCAATTATACTCCAAAAGCAAGCAAACAAACAAACCAATAGAAAAAGAGATCAGATTTGTGGTTACCAGAGGCAAGGGGTGAGGGGAGGGGGAATTGGATGAAGGCAGTTAAAAGGTACAAACTTCTGGTTATAAGATAAAAAGTACTAGGGATGTAGGTACAACATGATAAATAGAATGAGCACTGCTGTATGTTATATATGAAAGTTGTTGAGAGAGTAAATCCTGAGAGTTCTCATCAGAGGAAAAATATCTTTTTTCTATTTCTTTAATTTTGTATCTATATATGATGGATGTTCACCAAACTTATTGTGGTCATCATTCCATGATGTATGTATGTCAAATCGTTATGCTGTATACCTTAAACTTATACAGTGATGTATGTCAATTATAATTCAATAAAATTGGAAGGAAAAAATGCAGTTTTCTGAGTCCTGGTTCTGGCCCAGGAATATTCATTGAAAACAATGTAGTTTGTCCAAGGATTATGTTTTGAGCAACACTAGACTAGGATTGTCCTTTTACTGGGAAAAGTCAGTATGTATATTTTTTGTTTAATTGTATTTAAAATTTGTTTTGAATATACTCCAGTATTTATTAGCTGTCCTCTCTAGATATTGCAAATCAGGACTTGGAGTTAGTAAAGAGGAGGAAATGGTTACTTATTGTCAGTGAGTTTAAGATCTAAGGTTGAAAATTCAGAGGAATTCAAATAATCTAGGTTTTGGGCATGGTGAGAAAGAAACTTTTAAGAATTCATCTTAATGGTTTTAAAATACTGCACAACATAATAAAGGAATAAATCAACTGATGCATTTTATTTTTAAATGGGCAGAAAGACATTTGCCCTTCTGTATATACAAAACCAGCAGTTTTGTATCAATTTGCTTTCTTTCTTTTTTTTTTTTTTTTTTGTGTTACGAGGTCCTCTCACTGCTGTGGCCTCTCCCATTGCGGAGCACAGGCTCCGGACGCGCAAGCTCAGCGGCCATGGCTCACGGGCCCAGCCGCTCCGCGGCATGTGGGATCTTTCCGGACCGGGGCACGAACCCATGTCCCCTGCATCGGCAGACGGGCTCTCAACCACTGCGCCACCAGGGAAGCCCTTCAATTTGCTATTTTTAGTTTCCTTATTACTATTTAGTTTATTTCATCATGGTTACAGTAAATTATGATGTATGTTACAACCATAAACTTTAAATATAGACAAATTCTAGGTCCAAATATTAGCTACATAACTAGTTCTAGGATCTGGGTTCAAGTATTTGTTTGCTTTTCTGTAAACTGGAAGTAGAAATACTTCGAGTTGTTGTGAAGCTTAGAAATGACATATTGTATATAAAGCATATAAAAAGGTTTCTAGAAGTTAGTTAAGTACTCAATAATGCTAGCTTCTATTTGTTCTCATTTTGCAAAAGTCATTTCTTAAAATAATATCACTGCAACTAATACTATTTCTTAGTTCCTGCCACCCTGAAATAGGGTCCAGACTAAAGAGCCACAGAATCTCTTCAGCCATGCATGTCTTCCTGCTTCCCAAAAACACTCCCTGGATTATTTTCTCAGTCACTTTGGTATAAGGAAGATTCTCCTAAGAGGTATAGGTTGAAGAAAATGGAGTGAATGCTATTTGTTCTTCTACTTAGGACACTTCTACTTAGTGAACTAGAGAATATGTTTATCAGCATCAATAAACCACCCATAGCAATGTGTTTGTGCTTCACTGAGCTTAAGAAAAAGTAAAACACTGACAGATCACTTTGAATTGTCATTTTAACTTAGGAAAACAGAAGCCATTTATTCAATGGCAAGTCTCAGACCATGTATTATTTATTTGTTTATTTGCTTGTTTATTTATGCCCAGAGTGATGTCTCCTATTATTCCACAATTCTTCTACCATAGAGATAACTGCTTATTGCTGGAAGAATATAAGGGAAATCTTTGGGTGTATCATGCATACTCTTAAAAAGTTTTGTAAACGCAGCATTCTACATTTTATATGTATGACACTTTACTATTACGTAACCAAATCCATCCTACTGTTACTAAAACTTCTGGATTTACTGAGTTTTGTTGGCTGACTTTGGTCTGGGTGAATTTAAGATCAGGCCCTGGTCTGGGTGAATTTAAGATCAGGGCCTTCAGTAAGGTTGTTACTACTTGAGATTTTCTAGGACTTAAAAGAAGGCAAGACCCTGCAGTATGCCAAGAAAATTAGTCAGGATCTCTCATCTTGGTGGACCATAAAAATGGAAGTTGGGCAATCAAACTTGGCTTTGATTATAGTGAGGTTCTCAATTTACTGTCCATGGATGGGGTTTAGAGAATCCATGAATATGTGCAAATTGTTGTAAAATATTAAAGTAAGCAGTAGGTAAGCAGTTTCATCATATTCACAGATGGGTCCTTGACTTCCAATAAAAGATGGTTGAAAACAATTTTATATCATTCTTATAGGGAAGGAAAGGTGGTGTTTTTATTTTTATTAAATAAAATGGAAAATGTAAGCAGCAAAACTTAGTTACATAAAAGGTAAATGCCAGGACATGGAAGCAACCTAAATGTCCATCGACAGATGAACAGATAAAGAAGATGTGACACATATACACAATGGAATATTACTCAGCAATAAAAAGAAATGAAATTGAGTTATTTGTAGTGAGGTGGATGGACCTAGAGTCTGGCATACAAAGTGAAGTAAGTCAGAAATAGAAAAACAAACACTGTATACTAATGCATATATATGGAATCTAAAAAAAAAGAAAAATGGCACTGATGAACGTAGTGGCAGGGCAGGAATAAAGACATAAACATAGAGAATTGACTTGAGGACACAGAGCAGGAGGGGGAAGCTGGGGCAAAGTGAGGGTAGCATTGACATATATATACTACCAAATGTAAAATAGATAGCTAGTGGGAAGCAGCAGCATAGCACAAGGAGATCAGCTCAGTGCTTTGTGAACACCTAGAGGGGTGAGATAGAGAGGGTGGGAGGGACATGAAAGAGGGAGGGGATATGGGGATATACGTATACATATAGCTGATTCACTTTGTTATACAACAGAAACTAACACAGTATTGTGAAGAAATTATACTCCAATAAAGATCTATTTAAAAAAAAAGAAAGAAAGAAAAAATGGTAAATGCCTTGCTGGCGTTCATCTTCCTTTGCTAAGACCATCTCTTTTAGAAGTGGGTCAGAGTATGCCTGAATGTGTTACAATGCCACCCCCTGGTGGTGTGGTATCATAAACATTGGCTTTTTTTTTTTTTACTAGAAATTCTGCCTTCTGAAGTTCATCTTATTCCTTCCTGCCAGCTATCCTGAATTAATTGTGGGTGTACTATTTTAATTCTTCCAGGTTTCCACGGACTGCAAGAACAAGAGTGTGGATGTATCATTAGTCCACTGCACAGGTAAGGGAGTATCCTTGGCTAACATTGGACATGATCCTTCTGCTGCTACATGTAACCTTATATCATTTGTGTTTTCTTATAGCTTCTTTGATAAAAGCAATGAAATACTGGGGAAACCTAGATTCAGAGAAACCAATTTTTTTTGAATCAGTATCTGCTGCAATAAGTAACATCCACTTAAATAAGGTGAGTTGAGCAAGTTTGCATGCCAGAATTATAAGAAAATTGGAATGTAGAATACATGGGCTTTGCATTTTTTATATTAGCCTATTATCCCACTGACATCTAAAAACCTATTAAAATGTGCCCCCTCCTCAGAGTCCTCTGCTACAAGTAAAGGAATTTTTTCATTCCTTTTTTGGACAAGTTATGAATTGTTTAATAATTTGGATCTTCCAACAATATCACTGCTTAGAGGATTTGGTGATCACCTATTAAGTGCAAACTGCTTGCTTATAAAAATAAATGCATCTTCCAGGATCCACTATCCTGGGAATTGGAATCCACCTCTGTCAAATGCAAAAACTGTAAATATAGCCTTACAGCTTTTTGCTGCTCTCATACCCTTTACTCTAAGCTCATACTGCCACCTTTGGAAATACTATTTGCAGAGCCCAACACTCACATGGTTTGAAGTGTCAAAGTTATCTTCCAATACTGGGCTGTATGGTTTGTTTAAGAACTGTTCCTAGAACTTTGATTTCCCATAATTTTTCTTTGATTTTGAATTGTTTGGCCTTTCCTTATCCCTAGAACAGCATCTGTTATCTCTCTGAGTCATCCCTATTATGTGCAGTTAGAAGAGTATGTATTTACAGAATAATAATAATAACATTATTGTTATTATTGTCATTTCTACTACTACTATTACTGCTGCTGCTGCTGCTGCTACTACTGTTATATACCTAACATTCACTTTGTGCTCATTATGTTCCAGGAATGTGCTAAGAGCTTTACCTATGTTACTTCACTAAATTTGCCACAACCTCATGAAGTAGATACTATTATTGAACCTATTTTTAGAAATAAGGAAACTGAGGTCCAGGGAAGTTATACCATTTGTAAGTGATAGAGCCAGTTTCAAAGTCAGCAGTCTGACCTAGGACCTGGAGCTTTAAACTTCTATGCTCTGATGCCTCAGAGAATATCCATTTTCTTAGCTTGGCTGGACAGCTTGCTTCAGTTACTACTGTTCTTTGACTATGATATCAACTTAAGGGTTAAGTAAGTAGCAATTGCTAATTTCTTCCCCTTCTATTTCAGAATTTGAGCAAGCTCAGTGACCACAGTGAAATCTGAGACTCTTTTACTGCAGTACAGCTCTTTTCTTTAGCAACTGCCCCGAAGAGGCCATACTCAAGTATTTTCACAACATTTTTTGTTGTGTAGATCCTACAAATGACCTCTACTAAAATAAGTGTGATGTGACTTACTAACCACATAACCGCTGCTCAAGGTTTGCCAACAATTTTATCTAATCTTTGTTAGTAAGCAAATTCACTTTGTAGGTTATTGTATAGTTATTTTATAAAAATCAATATGCATTTAGTTTTAGTGTACTGAAAGGTAAACATGAATTTATTTCCTTTTTTCATACCAAAGTATTTTGTGTTAATTCAGTTTGTTGTAGTTCATTTGTAAAAGTGAGAAATACTTTGTCATATGATAAGAGATTTAGAACATTTGCAAGCCATTTGTAAAAATGCAGGATCATCTGTAACTAATACATAAAAACAACTTAGCAAGTGTGCCATTTTCCCTAACCAAAGAAGCCATTAAATATCAATAAGCTTAAATGTTACTTCATGCAATATGATTATGAAATTCACAGAAAGTAAGTCAAACAAAAACAAATGGCAAACTAGAAACCATTCTTCTCCATACCTTTCCATGTGTGGATGTCTTCAGGAATGTTTTCAACATAAGTAGTATCCCAGTGAAACCATGTCCTCGACATTAGTCTGTTTTGCTGTAAATATTGGAAATGCTTAGGATCTTCAGAACTTATAGCCCTAATTTCCACATTCCCACCCCATAAAAGTTTCCATTTTCAGCTTTAGTTTTTTTGGAACCAGAGAATGTGGAAGTTGAACCCCTTATGATTTTTTCACAAATATGATTTTTAGAAAAGAAAATATCACCAGTAGAATAGCTTTGTACTTTTCCAATATAGGATTAACTGTAGTAGTTTGGGACTTTCCTATTTCAGAGAGATAGTCAATATAATATAATACATTTATCTATCTATACCCCTATAGATAGATAGATCTCCTTAGAATGCTTTTTCTTTTCTTTTGTTAGAAGGGAGCTTAGGTAAGTGATTATCTTTTAACCCACTAAACCACCAGGGTATTGACAAATAAATACCATAGGCCAGGCTGACTTGTATAAGTCATTATTTTCATGTTTCTACATATATTTTCAATCACATACAATTATATAGTTTCATATTTTTATCTAACAATTTGATTTACCTATGAAGAAATCTCACTTTCAAAGATAGATGTAGATGCACGCTTTAGTCTTAAGACATTTTAACTGTTCTAGAAATTACCAGTTAACAAAAAGCCAAGTACTTTAAAGTGAGTTTGAAAAGTAGTTTGAAAACAAATTTAAAGGCTCGTAATTTAGGTGTTTTTGAGAACATCTGTAAGAGTAAATTCTAATATCTGCCGTGTGATGTAATGGTTCCTAGCAAATGTGTAGTAAACATTCACATGGCCCTTATTTTTACCATTGAGTCCTAGGCAGACAATGTAATGAAATGAAAGGGGAATAATAAACATTTCAAATTCTCGTAACTTATTTAGCCATGTCAATTCTGATTGACATGAACTACAAATGGTAGTTTTTGTCCCACAGGAAGCTTCAATCCTTTCATCACTAATTTGGATTGAAATGAGTGAAGCCAACTTTTCTTCCCATCAAATACTGTTCCAAGAAATTGTGGAAGTAATAATTAGAAGTAAAATTTCCTTAAAGAAAGGAATTTCACTCTCCTTTTCTGATTAAATTATTCCAATGGTGGACGGTGGCAACATTCACCATCACTAATCCATTGGTCATTGGCACATAAACATGAGTCAAGGGAAGTTAAGAAAGAAATATATTTTGCTATGTATAAATTGATGTATTTCTATGCAAATTTAGTCTATTATTAAATGCATGCACTGTAGACATTTTCTAATTTGTTAGAGATTATGGACTGTAGATGGCGTTAAAATCTTTACAGGTAATCAATGGATGGTTTCTTCTATTTTATTAACAAAGCTGACAACTAGTTGTATGAGAAGATGTATTTGAATGCATTTCAGTGTTTATAATAGGCATCTAATGGATAAAACTTAAAAGTTAATAACTTTGGTGTCAAATGTTATTATATTCAAAGTAAAGGAAGACCAAAACATGTACCATAAATAACCCTTTGTTCTAAGGCTTATCCTGCATACTAAGATCCCAGTGACTAGACCTGTAGGAATCCCTGAAATTGAGTTTTGAAAGCTCAACAACTGAATATGAGTTTCAGACACACAAGATTCTAAAACATAAACGTTTATTTCAAAGCAGACATTAATAACAGGAGAACTATAATATGGCACTGATGCTAGACTGTTTCTAGTCATGATTAATTAGTTTTATGAGATTACCTTATTTTTGTATATGATAAATTACTTTCATATTACTTATTATGGTAAAATAAAATTGGGAAAAATTAAAACTGACCTATAAGACCAGTTAAGGACCTAATAGAGTGACATATATAAATTAACCATAAAGTGTGTAACCAGGAAAAAGACTGTTAAATTATATTTATGCAAATTAAATGCCCTTAAATTTTACCATTTGTCTTTCATTTTAAAGGTTATTTTCCCCTGATTATATGATTCAAGTGTTATAAAGTCTAACTTGAATTACTTTGCAGTAATTTATGTGACAGATCTCTACTGTATAAATGTGTAATGTAATGAGGAAAGAAATCTCTCTTTTTTAATGAAAACATTAATGTGTTAATACCCTGTATGGATAATGTTTTACATTTAGCGGTTACCAAAATATATTAGTATGTTTTTGAACATACATATGCTTAGAAATGCATGTTCTGCATACTGTGGGATGATCGTCTAATTCAATGTAAAATATGCTTTTTGGCAGTGATTTTGTTGCCAGATTTTCAATAGGGAGTTAAGTGAGGCTTGCACAATCTTAAGATTTTTAGTTAAAAATCGTATCATCTAATATGTCACACATATTTTTATATTTTTCAATGCATTTCATTATCTTTTAAATAATCCTTTGCCTGACTCAGCATATAACAACCAATTTACATGGAAATAAACTGAAATATGGTAACTATTATGCTTAAATGGATTTGTGTCCATTATTTCAAATTATTCACCCTCCTGTAAAGCAAATAATACATTTTGCTGTCTTAGACTGACCACAGTCTAATGTGTTGACAATTCCTGGATTAAATATTCTTTGTAATTTGTTCTTACAAAATTTAAACCTAAAATTGTAAGGTATAGTATGTCAATTTATGGAAGGCTAATAAAGTTACTTTTTGCTGCAACACTACATTTACACAATCCTTTTACACCAGGTTTAAATCCTTTGTGTTCTAATTTTAATTAATATATAATTTAATTTTTTAATTTGTTTGGGTTCTTCATTTATATACTGTTGTTTGTCTTTCCTGAGTTTCTAGGCTGAGTTCAATATTCTCCAGAATTTTAAAGGTTACTGCTCAAAGAAAAAGAAGATAAGTCAGTCTTCTAGGTGTTGGAGGTATGGCAGTGAATAAAGCAGAAAAAACATCCCTTCCCTCATGGAACTTACATTCTAACAAGGGAAGACAAAATAAATGGGATAAACTTTAAATACCTTTATTATAAGTTAAATGATAATATGTGCTAAGAATAAGAATAAATTAAGGAAAGAAGATAGAAAGTATGGCAGAAAAGTGGGTGTTGTGTCCTGAGATAGGGTGGCAGGAATGGTGATAACAGGAATGTCTTAGCAGACTACTATGATAAAATACCACAGACTGGTGAGCTTAAACAATAGACATTTATTTCTCAAAGTTTGGTAAGTTGGGAAGTCAAAGATCAAGGTGGCAACTGATTCAATTTTCTGGTGAGAACTTCTTTTCTGGCTTGTAGCTAGTAGTAGACAGCTACTTTCTTGGTGTGTCCTTCACATGGTGGAAAGAGAGTGCTCTCTGGTCTCTTCTAAAGGATCCTATAAACCTATAAGCTTAGGACTTCACCCTTATGGCCTTATTTAACCTTCATTACTTACCTATATGCTCAATCTCCACATACAGTCACATTGGGGGTTAGGGCTTCAATATACAAATTTTAGGGAGACACAAGTCCATAGCAAGGAGTTATAAATTTCTTATATATTAAAAAATTCCTTTTTATGTCTGAAAATTAGGCTTACTAGAATTGTATTTATATTTAATATGATATGATGTTTTTGCATCAAAAACATGAGAAATAATTGTGAACTCTGTGGTTAAAGCATTTCAATGCTAGAAAGTGTAGGTTAGCATAGATATTACTAGCCATACCTGGCTACTGAGATGAGATTCTGGCCATGAAACATGTGAAGTGGTCAGAATGGGTTTGCAGTATACCAATGGTTGTTCAGAAGCTGAGACATTGTATTCTGGTGATAGTTTCTAATGATTAGCCATCCTGTTTTGAAGATAGAATTGAATTAGTTAGCTTTCCCTTAACTATCATATTGTTAAAGAAAATAACAAGAGACATGCTTAATTCTACCAGTTGTCACAGGGACAGGTGCAGAACAGAGTCCTGATGCTAACTGCAGTGAGAGCTTTCCACTTTTTTGTTTGTTTCTTTGTGTTTTTTTTTGTTTGTTTTTTTATTAAGAAGGAAAGAATACTAGGTTACTACAAATTAGCTAAGTGCTCTGAAATTATGGCTTTCAGAGTGCTCATTATGAAAAATCCTCACTCATTTTCTATTGATCCAGCAACAGGAAGGTTATCTTGGTCAAACATATTTCCTTTCTGTCCTAAATAATAAAGACCAGTCTCTCTACTAAGTATAGAAAGTATTTAGTATTTTTGCCTATTTGGAGCCTCTTGTTTTTATGGCCACATTTAGAAATTGGCTAATGAATAAGTCCAGTAAGAATTTATACTTAACAAGAACAATTGTTGCATTAAAAAAATAAAATGCTTCAATTTAAAAAAATAGAATTGTATCTTTATTTCCTTTGCTTCTAAAGCTGCCTTTTGTCCCTTCTTTGTTTTAAAGCAATTTCTGGCC